GGGTTTCAGAATGTTGTGGTTAATACGCTGTTCTTTCGGGGTCTTAACTGCCGACATATTTGTGAAGCTGTTCTCAGCTTTCGTTCGGCCCCATCTGGAGTACTGCGTCCAGGCTTGCCCGCCCTGCCTTGTTCGGGACAAAATGGAGCTTGAGAGGGTTTTGAGAGTAGGTACCAAATTGGTCGAGGGGTTACGGGGGCAATCGTACCCCGAGCGTCTACTTAGCTTGGGTATGTATTCAATGCACTACCGACGGCTTCGAGGAGACCTAATCTTTACTTACCGCATTTTAACAGGGAAGGTTGGACCGGACTTGAGCTGGCTATTTAGCCCGGCTAGGTTGCCTTGTCTTCGCGGTCATCCCATGAAGCTACACAAGCCGCGTTCTGACGGGATCAGGGCGGAAACTCGGTTATCGCGTAGAGTTATCGAGCGCTGGAACTCGCTTCCAGAAAGTGTAGTTCTTGAGCCTATGGTTAAGGGTTTCGAGCGTCAGTTAGACGCTCTTGGGTGGCAACACGAAACCTTTCCCTTCTCCTGACCATATCCATCTTCAAACTTTTAGTTCTTATTCTGTCATTCTCTTCACTCTTTGGTGTTATCCTTCATTTTAATGACTTTCATTCCCCTTTATCTTCCATTTACTTTCTATTTTTTTCTTACTTCACGTAACCTACACAGCGCAGACTGCTAGTGCAGGGAACGTGGGCAGTAATTGGTTGATCAGGGTGTTTCGGGTGTTTCGTTTTAGATCTATCAAGACCTCCTAGCACCTTATCATTTCCTGGCTCAACGATTTGCTCAAGAAGGAACACTCAAGGGATTTTCCTATCGTTCCAGTCCATCTGAATCTGAATGCTGCGCTCAGAGATCGACGCGCCCGGCTATCACCGGTGCTAAACTTTCAGTACTGTCTTCAAGGTTGGCAGATGTTGTGAGGGCGATAGCCAAACTCTCCTCTATTGCTTCGCTCTGTGCGAAAATGGATTTGATTTTGAAATCCCTAATTATTGCGATTGAAGACACTACAATAGACGGCAACATTGCTGACGATATATCTGCTGGAGTCTGTCATTCGATCAAGAAGTCGCACATCCTACCGGACAATCCAGGTAGCATTGCTGATTCTCCTCATGAGCCGGTCAATGTGAACAAAAATAGGGTGCGGAAATACCAGAAGCCCTCTGCTAAACCCAGAGAATTAGTTGCCACGGCATTGAGAAAGATGCCTTCTTTGAAAGTCCTAAAGTCGTCTGACGCTAGCGCACAGGAGAACATTCCGAAGATGTTGACCGTCTCGGCTGCCACTGAACCAGCCCGTTCTGACGACGTGTGTGTGACGACGGTCCTCGCGATCGGAATGACCGAGGTGTACCTCAACGTGAACTGAGGTCTCAATAGGGGTTGCGTGTCGGAACCCAACGACACAGCGGGTTCCCAAATTCAACTTTCGCAATCAGGATAATTTCGTTTTTATGTGTGCTTAAAAGTTATACCGAATTGTTCCGGTGGATTAATTTCGCTCAGAAATCCGTCTCATTAGGAGTTTTATCGCTCTGAAAGTCGGCCAACCATTGTAAACTCATCTGCTTCTAATGCTGCTGATATCTACTCTGGCTGTGACGTCGGCATCCAACCACTTATTAGGTAATTATCGTGCGCATGTTCCATCCAACTGAAACTCTTACTAAGTGGTTGTGATAGCGCTGTCCAGTTTCGTGCTATGTATTTCTTGTACCCCAGCTCCACCGGTCTTTTAAAACGAACTTTACGCGTTTAACACTAAAGTTCGAAATCTCGGACGTCACACGTACCATACCGAATACACGTTTGTGGCGTTCTCCCTGAGTTCAATAACGATCCACTGGGTCTCATCCTCCATTATGTGACCACCGTTTGAATCCTGTATTCCTCCACTTTAGCGATTCGGATTTCCTTGTCTCTTCATCAGAAACGGTACGCGTTACTTTCTGGTCCATCATGGCAAGGCTTCTCTCCCCGTCTTTTTCCTACTGCTTACCTACTCGGAGCAATCTACCTTTCTGCCGCTTCTCTACGTCTTCTACCATCCCGTGCGTTTATAATCCAGAATAAATATTTGTTCATTGTAGCAAAGTTAGTGAAGTAACCAACACTCCAGAACCTCCAGGCTATAAACCCTATAGCCCATTTCAGTCAACTCATGGGAAGTTGGACTACGCTATTGCTCGAATGGACGATTTGATAAACTGGGCTCGGAAAGTATGTCCTATTTCATTTTTGACCTTCAGAATTCCATATGGCCCCTTACCTTTGGACTTGCGTGTTGCGCTGTTGAAATGATGCATATTGCAGGCCCCCGATATGACATGGATCGATTCGGCGTAGTATTTCGTGCCAGCCCGCGTCAAGCAGATTTGATTATCGTATCAGGCACAGTGACAAACAAAATGGCACCCGCTTTGCGTCGTGTGTACGACCAGATGAATCCACCACATTGGGTCATTTCGATGGGGTCTTGTGCCAACGGAGGTGGCTACTATCACTATTCTTATAGTGTCTTGCGTGGTTGTGATCGCATTCTCCCGGTTGACGCATACGTCCCAGGTATGTGGTGTTTTGTTCCTTAAGTTTGCTTCTCATTCTTATCGACTTTTGTATTATGTCCCGATAATTCGATCATTTGTTCATTCTTCAATTGGTGATAATCATGTATTGAATACCGAATGGCTATTCTTGGAATTGCCATTGTCGTTTAATTTTCATAGCCAGAGCTGACCAAGTTTGGAAGTTCACGTTTTTGGAGCCATCTATTAACTGCTATCCATTACATGTTGAATGCTGAATGTTATATTTATGTTATATAGCATTAAGCAAGTGTTACAGTCCGTCACCGACTTAAGAGTTGCTGGCTTAAGTTATGAACGACAGTTGGAGTCAAGTTCGGAAGGTCTACCTAATTTTAGTGCATGTCGCATCTCTGTAAATGTGTAGTTTGACTTAATGGCTTTGAGACGACGACACTAAAAACACACACCGTCCTAACCAGATTATAATCTGGCGTGTTACAACACCTTGCGTGGCTCACCGATTCTTTACACTGTCCGGGTTGCTTGCTTAGGCGACTTGAGGGCCGTTATCGCTAGATCGGTCTCCTTGTATTCTAGCTTTCGGACTAAGGCAATATTCATTCTTGTGGAAGTTATTCATTTTCCCAACCTTATCGTCTTTCCTTTGCTTTGCGGTTGGCTTTTGGGCAAAAGTGTTTGGTTGAAGGCCTTATTCTTTCTCCATTTGTGTGCTCCTTATCGTACTCTCACGCATTCTATATGGGTTGTCTCACCAAAATTCTGATCCTATCGTCCCAGTTTCAGTCGGGTCACCAATGAACAAACCAACATGTACTACTACTGACGTCTCTGTTTCACCCGTTTTCTTATACTATCCACGATCCCCACCTTAGACTTTCGCCACATCGGGGATATCAAGCAACAGCCAATCTCTTGAGAGAAAGATAACAAAGAAAATAATGCATTAGAAAACGGTGACATAAATCATAATGAGCATATGAAATAAGTTGTGTAAAAAAGCATCCGAGGTAAGTTCACGAGATCAGAAAGTATAGTTTACGGAAATGCCACAAACACGAACATGCTATGGGAATTGACTACAACTGGCTTAAGCGACGTGTGCAAGTTTATAGAAGAGAGTATAGGTAGACATTTATATGAGAAAGAAAAGCATTAGGACAAAATTGAAAACCCACCACCTGAAATAAAGGGACTTAGAGTGCAAGCACGCGGTTAGTAAATCAAATGCAACGTGCCTACAAACGCTGCGCCGGTTCTGCCTACGTTCTCTGCAGGACCCGTCGTCGCTTCGGTAGTGGTCCCGAGTGGCTTCGCTCAATGCTCACTAGGCCTGCCTGACTCAGGCACTCTCGACCGCATGGTGCTGTAGCACATGTCTCTCAGTCAGGTTCTTCATGTCTGTGCCACGTCATGGATTTGTCACCTCACGGTTTCGTCCCGCTTGGTGCAGCACGGTGTAATGCACGCCGAGGAAGTCGGTCAACTGTATACGGCGAACATGGCCTAGCCAGCGTAAGCCATTAGGATTTAGCAAGCACTCAAGTGAGGCACTAGCAGGTTTGTTGCCAAAAACCAACGGACGCACTTCAGCGTTGCTCGCCCGGTGTTTCCACCACATGTGAGCAATAGTCTGCAGGCACCGGTGGACAAACACGGCCAAGCATTTATTGTCTTTGCCGCGAACTACCCAGCTTTCTGATCCATACAGTAAGACCGGCCTTACCGCAGCGTTGTATACCCTACCTTTCACTGACAGGCTGATATCCCGCCGTCTCCATAGTTGGTTGAATCTCCTGAAAGCCACACATGCTTTGCTGATACGCTAAGTAACTTCCTCAGTGACGTGACCACCAGTGGTGGATCCGATATCTGGGCCACATGTTGCGCATGCCAGTCCACCAACTCTCGCGACTTGCGTTTGCGCGCTGGGGTTGTGAATGGAAGAAGAGAACTGGCCCAGCAATGACTTGGTCAAGAGGAAGGAAGGCCCATAATTTGAACCTGGCCTCGGTTGTAGCTTCTCTGCTCCCTGGTTAGGGACCGAAGGACGGAGAACACGTTTGCTAGATAAACTTGTTGACATGGCTAGGGGCCTGACCTCAGTGGCGTTTGTGTTATGAGTTTCTTTGTCCCTCGCTCTCTCGTTCAGGCTCCTCTAATCACGATCTCAATTATTAGAGATACTATAACTACTTTGCGGCACAATGGCCAGCTGTTAACTCTCCAGAACGACGTCCATCCGTTACTGGGGACACAGCCGGCGTGCCTCTGTTTCATATTTTTCTTTTCCTTTGTAATGCGGCACAATAGCTGAGGTGTCTTCCACTTGCAGCTCACGTCTATAATGATAATGATGACTTTCAGTGGTTGTTCTGTGATAGCTGGAACCGGTGTGTCGTTCCAGTTCTGCAGCAGTACTTTCCACTTTGAAGGTGTGAAGCACGTGCTGAGGCGTGCGGCGCTACGCGTCAGTCTATCCAGTAGTGTTTGCATAACCATCGCGTCAAACCCAAGAAGAGTTATATCGTCCGCATACTCCAGGTTTATCAGTCTGTCACTTGGCGGAACTTGCACTCCGGCACCGTCTGAAAGAACGCAATCCCTCATGATCATTTCGATAACAAAATTGTAGAGGAAAGGAGATATAGAACCCTGGCGAACCCCACTTGTCGTGGGGAACCCAGGAGACAGTTTCCCATAGACACTTACACGGTCTCGGGCGTAGAGAGACTGTTATAATGGAAAGGAATTTAGCCAGCCCGCCTTGCATATATAAACACTGCCACAAGATGGCACGGTCAACAGAGTCGAAGGCGACTTTCAAGTCACGGAAAACCACCGTAGTTGGTCGTCTGTATGTGTCTCTGCTCTAAAACTTAGCAAAGAGTAAATGTGTGGTCGATGCAACCACGACCAGTGTAGTAGTCAGGCTGACTTAGTGAATCGGTTCTAGCGGGAACCAGTAAGTCGTCTAAGAATGATACTCGTGAGCAGTTTGGATGCAGTACAAACAAGGTTGATGTTTCGATGGTTTTTGCACAAAGTGCACTGATCCTTCTTGAAGATAAGCACAACAGTTAAGAGTCGCCAGTCTGAATACACCTTCAGTGTTCCAAATCGGGCTAAATAGAGAAGTGAATCTAGTCAACAACGAGTCCCCATTATCTTTCTGCAAACATGGAGGAAGGTCATCTGACCCAAGAGCCTTGTTATGTTTCAACACGGAGAGCTTACGTCGAATCTCTTCCCGTAGACTAGAGGTAACGAGCTCGTTTTGTTATCTGACGGCGCGATTTAGAGGCTGCGTAGGAGCAGGGTGACCCTCGCAATATCCTCAATCCGCGTTCGACCGGTGGTGGTTGCGCGGCACCGAATCGTCAGTACTGCCTACCGGCGTACTGCTGATGCTTTTCTTCCAAAGTGAGAGGTATGACATCTACTTCCCATGTCGGCTCTGGCGATTCAACATGTGGCAGTGTCGCAGCAGGCCTGCTGAACTGCTCTTCAAAATGTCCCGCCCACCAGGCTAGTCGACGACGCTGAGAATGTATCAACTATCCGTATTTCTCAGCTATGGTCTCGCTAACTGATGGCTTTCTCGTACTCGTGTTCAGGATGAGTTGTACTAGCACTCGTCTGTTCCCAATAGCGCTTATTTTCTCCATCCCTCGTGCCTTTACCATCCACCAACCTTCCCGGTCAACTTGAGGACTCCATGTCAGACGTCGTTTCAGGGACTTACGGACATGCTGAAACTCAGTGCCCATCAGAACCCGTTTACGCACTTCGATCAAACTGATCGATGCCTCAGAGATCCATTCACATTTATGACGTTTCAAGTTGGACGCACAGCATGCGTCAAAATCATTCTTCATGGCACACTTGAGACGATCCCAGTCAGCGTTCGGTTCACTAACCTCATTCATCACTGACGTTTGGTGGGCCAGTTCGTCTTGCTATTGTTGAACTGCAGATTGCGAGTTCAAGTTAAATGTAACAAGCTTAGAAGATAGGCCGTTCTTTGAAGCGGAAAGCATGAGCGCCGAGCGTGCGTGCACTAGAGCATGGTCAGAATCCAGACACGTGCTCCAAATTGACCGACAATTTTGGACTGATGTGCGCCACCTGTAGCTGATTGCACTATGGCCAATTTGGGTCCAGATCATGGAGGAATTCGGTGGGCGCCAGGTGACACGGTGTGAACGTTTGTGCTGGAAAGCAGTGTTGCTAAGGTAAAGGTTGCGCTCGGCGCCAGGTTGCAGGAATCGATCACTGTTGTTCGACTGGCATTGACTCCGAAGCGGCCCCCTAGGTGTTGTTTGTAGTCTGAGAGACGACCCACTTTGGCTTTGATGTCACTAGCAGCAATTGCCATGTCAGATGGTAGTGGAAATCATCTTTGGCACCTTCCCAACTGCAGTCAGTAGGAGCATAAACGGATGCGATGCGAAGGCACCTTGTCTCCATGCGGTGCTTTTTAACCCCAATAGATGTTCGAAGTTGAACCGCATACATACGGCTGTTCACCAATATCCATTCGAGTAGATTACCTTCAGACTGGCCCGTGGCCTAGTGCTAACGAGCTTGTCTCGTACTCTTGCGGTGCGGGTTCGAGCCCGCGTATGGGGCAGGACGACCGTCGCAGTATCCTTAGCCCACATGCGATCGATGGTGGTTGCGCGGCAGCGAAACATCGGTACTGCGTACCGGAGTACTGCTGATGCTTATATTACGTTCAACTTGTCTGCTGAG